GAGCACTTGTCCTTTTGTAAAAATAGATAACTGCAAAACATTCTGTGGCATGACAGATCTTCATGCTGATTCTCTCTTGGTGCAAAGTATTTCAAAGATCCTCACACTTCATACAGATCACTCACTTTTTTTTTTTTTAATTTTTATTTTTTTGAGACAGAGTCTCACTTTGTTGCCCAGGCTAGAGTGAGTGCCGTGACATCAGCCTTGTTCACAGCAACCTCAATCTCCTGGGCTCAAGTGATCCTCCTGCCTCAGCCTCCCAAGTGGCTGGGACTACAGGCATGCACCACCATGCCCAGCTAATTTTTTGTATATATATTTTTAGTTGGTTGATTAATTTCTTTCTATTTTTTGTAGAGATGGGATCTTGCTCAGGCTGGTTTCGAACTCCTGACCTCGAGCAATCCGCCCGCCTCAGCCTCCCAGAGTGCTAGGATTACAGGCGTGAGCCACCGTGCCTGGCCAGCTCTCACTTTAAAATCAGATTAATGACATCTGTAATCTCCTCTAGCTCACTGCACACTTCTGACTGCAGCTACTCTGCAGCAGTAGTTGTCCTGTGAATTATTACAAGGTGCATAAATTTCCTGAGTGATGCTATCTCTTTACACCCCTCCAGCACCCTCTTCTAATTCCAGTCAAAGCAGCCACTCCATCACATGTTATTGTATACGATTATTCCATGAGAACATTGTTTCTAGTAGAGAAGTTATTTACAACTGAGAACACATCTTTTTTGGCATGCTTTTCTATAATTGGTTCACCAAAGGGCAGTATTTTGTATTTTTATTATTGAAGTAGAAGCTACAACTGTATTTCAACCAGCTTTAAAGCAAGCTATATTTGATGGGTTCCCATACTTGTCTCTTTAATGCTTTCTCTGCATCTATATTTGCTGGCGAAAGATGAATTTTGATTTCATGCAATCATTCTAAAAGGATTTATGGAGTACTTGGTATGAGCCGGTCACTGTCCTAGGTGCTGAGGAAGTAATGGACAAAATTAAGTTTGCATGGAGCTGTGTTCCTTAACCAGCCCCTCACTGAATACATTTCAATGCCCCCTACGTAACCCTCTCCCTTAACTAACTGGGTGACTTTTTGAGTTGTTTCCTAGAAATGGTGAATTCTCTGCAAGACAAAGGAGCTGAGTCTCTAAAGTCCCCTGGGCAGATTTCCTGATGCCAAGATTCACCATCCCCCACAACCCACCCCCAATGCACTAGCCCCTTGTGAGATATGCCTGTCCCAAGGCATGGGGACACAGATTTGAGACAGCTTCTGCCATTCTCCCAACAAGATATCTGTCGTAGTTATAATTCCTTTCTTCCTTGGCAATCGTCATCATCTCAAAATTGGATCTTTGTGCAAGCAGATGGACCTAGAATGAAACCCCCTCATGATTTTGACAATATTTCTATAAGGGATGATAGACAACGATCAAATTTTTAAAAAATCAAATGTATGTCAGGGGTGAGTGCTCTAAAAAAACAGTTCAACAGGCTCTTGGGACAGAGAGTGATAGATGAGCCATTATGGGTGATGATGAAGACCTCCCTGAAGAGGTGATGTCAGAGCAAAGGCCTGAATGTTTGCTGGGGATTATCTGTACTTTGGAGAAGAGCCCAACACAGAGGGAGCAGCAGGGGCAAAGGCCCTGAGGCAGGAGTGTGCTGGGGGTGGCTGAACCACAGGAGGCCGGGGTGCCTGGAGGCAGGGAGGATGGGGATGAAGTAAGAGGGGAGGGCAGAGGGCAGCCTGGCAAAGACCACACAGGGCCTTGAGAGTAAGAGAGGGTAAGACAGCAAAGGATTTCGGATAGATTTTGATAGGAAACCTATGAAATTTAGTAACAGATTTGGATCCAGGGTAAGAGGAAAAGAGGGAAGGTATACCACGATTTTTAGGCTAAGCACTTGAGGAGGGTAGTAGCCACTACAGAGGGGGAGAAGACTGGGGGAAGACAAGGGATGGAGACCTGGAGCTCAGTTTGGACCAGTGAAGGTGTAGAAGACTAGATATCCCAGTGAGGGTGTCAGTTGCCAGTAACAGTCAGGAATTACAGGGCAGGTGTTTGGAATGGTAATATAAATTTGGGACTTGTCAGTGTATTAAAAGCCTCGTCAGTACATTTTTCTGTGCATTATTCATCTGTATTTTTGCAGTGGGAAGAATAAGTATTTCCCACAATCGAGTGCAGCTTTTTTTCCGCTACTAAGTAAGAAATCTCAAAAGAAGCTCTTAAGCACTTTCCATTATAGTAATTAACATTTTTAAAGATATTGCACTGAATAGTACATGATTTTAGATAAATAAAAAAGATTACAGACATCTTTATTGTCTTTTTCAAATCAGGATGGCTTCTTACACTTACTAGCTAATATCTCAAGACATAACACAGTCAGGGGAGAGTGGTCATTAGTGATAGTGGGTATAAATTTGTATCTATACAGCTACTTAGGACCTTTGCCGAAAAAGAGATAGTTCTGAAAGCAAAACTGTCACTGTGGCCTTTTGTTCACTTAGGCTTGCCTTATTACTACTGCATTCTACCCATGATCTCTTTGCAGATATCTTCTTAAGCCACGTGTCCATTTTGTGATGACTAGCTTAGTTAAGACTAGATAACATCATCTATAAATCCATTCTACCTGACCCATGTCAACTGCCATCCATCACTGCAATGTGCAAAAAAGGAAAGGTGTCACCCTCAACCCCTTGAGGAATTTGTTTTCTCTCAGGCTAGGTCCCTTACCCAACAAGAAATGTGACACTAAATATATTAAGAGAACTTAGTTTCTTTCTGATTTTTTAGGAAAAATAAACATAAATAGAAATTGCAATATCACCTTCCTGAGTCTCAGTGGATCGACTTGTGTGCACTCTTCCCGGTATCTGTGCTTACGCTCTGCTTTGATCTAGTCCTTTTTACTGTCAAAGAAGGTGATAAATGAGGCTACTGCAGAGTTAGAATGAGGACTGTCCTCAGCTTCTGGGCAAACAGAATTCCCATTAACACCTCAATTATCACACACCCAGTGACACAGAAGAATGAAAGATCAAATTGAGTTCCTGAGCTTAAAAAAAGAAAGCATTAAAAAGCCAAAGTATTGCTTGCTACATTTTAAATACTTGTCCATACACTATTAAAAAATTAAAACTCTGCTAATTTTGTTCCCTGGAGTAATTGAAGTGAAGTTATTTTTGTAGTCTGGTCAAACCTAACTCAAAAAAAAATCTATTTTTTGCATGTCTTCGTGGCCTTCTTAGTAAAATGAGCTATTCCAAGTGGATTAAGAACCTGAACTTCTTTTCTTAGGAGAATTTTACACCTAATGTAAAAAATTAAGAGAATCTGAGTTAGAAACGAAGTGAGCTTTATCATATACCCTCTCTGAAACTGAAAACTTTGAGTTTTACTCAGCAACAAAATAAGCTATGCTCCCTTCTCAGAGAAACAAAAATGTCAATATAAGATAAAAGACCTTTATTTCTACAGTAAAACCGAGATTTGAGGTGGTGGCAAGAATGTGACCCTCCTAAACTAGCTGGTTCTAAATTATATGGCTGCTAATCAACACAGGTAGGTCCCTAAATACAGGACCACATTTCTAGGACATTCCTTTCTCTTATGATCATTTATTTCTCTTATTATTCACAGAAACCCAAACCAGAGAAGACCTTAAACAAAGCAGCTAGGGCTAAATCATTTGAAATGCATTAGCCAGCACTCACCGCAAATTAATTTAACACCAGTCACACACTTGTCTAGGTTCCTTTTCCCTGAAAGGTGGAATTAGTTGACTGGACCCCAGGAATTAGTTGACTGCACTGAACAGCTTAAGGTTTACCACTAACCATGACACTGCACGGTGAAGGCTGCTTAGTACCATCGCCTCCATGGAATTAGGAGGAATCTACAACAAATCCAAGTACAGAGCTTATAAAAGTGAGGTAGAAAAAGGATGAGAAATGACCCGGATATTTTTCCAAGAATCAAAGACACAGTTCATTTAGAACAGTTTTCCTAAGGGTAAAGGAAACCCAATCTAAGGAAGTGAGATGGCTTCATGCTGTCCTCTCCCACTGTAACACCTGCAGGATAATCAGATTTCCTCATCACCCTGTCATTGTGTCCGGCCTGGGAGAAAGGGAGCTTCAAGTAACAGACTCCAACTTTGAAAAGATTTTTGGGTAGAACACCCATTCGGCCTGGTTCAGCAACCAACTTAGCTGTGGATCTAAAACAGATTTCAAAATAGAATTAAGGTAGATTTTTATGAATCTGGGTCAGATCTCTTCTGTTTGCCGGTTCAGATCTACTCTCCACCCTTCCCTACCCCAGGAGACTGACTTAAGTGTACGGACCATGGCAACAGACACCGTTGCCCTTGGGTTCCAAATGGAGTCAGCCAGGGAAGAGCCCTGGAGAGAGACAGTAGAGAGGCGATAAAGTGAGAAAGGGTGTCATTCCCTTGCTCTCTCCTTGTAGGGTCACCTTGGCCTGACTGTGTCCTTACCCAAAGTCATTGCTCCTCTGGAAGTGCCTGACTACATGACTTCTCTCCTTCTGGGTTTTAATAACTGCTTCCTTTCCTTCTCTCCTTCTGATTCTAGGGGTGGCAAAAGGCCAACTGCTACAAGTACAAGCTCCAGGTTCCTGCACTAACCTTGTGTTTTCCTAGACCCACAGCTGTATAAAGATCTCTTTGTAAACAAACCCTCCTTGAATAATTCTATTCTCTGTGTTTCCTGTTGGGTGCGTGATGAATCAATACACTGTCTTAAGGAGATGCTGCAGAACCAACAGCCTGGGCTCTCCTAGGCACCTTTAGAGAAGCAGTATCTCTTTCAGAATACGAAGGTAGGGCTGACTTAGAAAGTCATGCTTTCTCGTGGCTGCTAGACCATTCAGGGTCCCAGCAGAAAACAAATGTATTAGGGTGGTGCTGCCAGTGTACACAGGTTTTGAGAAAGATTTCTCCAGACACAGATTAGGATAGGAAGAAAAGGTTTATTTGCTTTTCTCTGGGGGAAGGGGAAAGGACCAGCACGGAGGTGGAAAGGGAATGTGCTGGCCCCCAAATCAGAAAATCAGCTCTTCAGCTATCGGGATTCTTTAAAGGGGGCTGTAAAAGTGGCAGGGTATAGTTGAGAAACTGCTGCATCTGTTCTTTCTTTCTTCTTGGTGACAGGTAGATAACAAACTGCTCGGATGTCAAAGTCCGAGGCTTGATTTCCTGCCTTTCCTTGGAGAAGGGATTATCACAGGAGATGTGACGCTGTAGCTCATTCTTCTGCTGTTTACTCGGAAACTCTGTAAAAGCAGATTCTAAAAAAAAAAAACCAAAAAAAAATTTTGAACGAGAGATTTACAAATTTTTTTCCATTTATCCTGCTCTTTTCAGAAGTTGTGTAAAATGGAACTCCTGCAGGGTACCTGTTACACATCCCACAGGGTTGATCTTTGACCATTACTGGGGAAATTGTAGGATTAGATGTTTTCCCATGTGGGATTAGGTATTTTCCTGTTGTTTTTGCAAGGCCACCCCTTTCAAAATGGCCACTCAAACTTAAGATAAGTCCAGAATGACTTCATGGTTAGAAAAGTGTAGGCAGGGTACAGGAAAACCACAGGGCAAGGTGCAGCCCTTTGGGCTACTAATAGACTAGGGCTCCCATCCAGGCCCAAAGAGCAGAGGAAAGAGAGTGGTTACCAGAATGTGGAAGAAGAGAGTGAAGAAGACAGTGCCACCTTGAGAAGAGCAGCGACTTCCTTACAAGCCATGGCCACAAAGACACCGCAGGGGGTCCGGGGGGCACAGACACGACTGCTGTCTCTTCCTACCCTCTTGTCTCCAGCCACAGCTCCCACTGATCAAATCCAAGAATCCAGATAAGAGAGTGCCTCAATGCAGTCAGCTGCCTGGAGCTAGAGAAGGGTGGAGACATCTAAGGAAGAAGCAAACAGAAGACAAGCAGCCCCGATTCCCCAACGGGAGGAACTGACTCCATCAGGATCTGCTTGAGACACATTTTTAAAAATATGCACATTCCCCAGAGCCACCCCATCCCTCCAAATTCAGAGTTAGAATGTCAGAGGTGGAACCTAAGTAATCTATGTTTTCTTTAAAAAAAAAAAATCTTAAATGATTCCAATGTACAGTCTGGTTTGGAATCCCTGACTTTATAAGATACATAAATAACCTTGAAGATTTCAAAGCAGATCACACAATCTCTTCTCATCACAGGATCAAACCCAAGACTAAATCATCTTAAGAATCTTCTATAAAGCGATTGCATTTGGAACGAATAGAGTTCGGTCTGGGGCAGCACTTACCAACGAAAGAATTGTGTTACTTTCTGTCATCAAGTACTAACCCTTAGGCCAGCTGAGCTGAAGGATAAGTTTTGTGCACTTGAACATTATTGTCCTTTAGCCACCTAAGTAGAACATATAAGTAATAGTTCCGAAAGAAAGACCTGATTCCTTGAAAATGCTTCACAGAAAGGCGACCCCTCAGCTTGAAATGGTAGCAGGCTCCAGTGGCTAAAGGGGACTGTATTTCCACGAGGACCATTCACTGGCAAAGCGTCTCATTCAGAAGTTTCACTTACAGATCATTCTTTCCATTATGATCGTTGAAGTGAAGCCAAGAGGGAAAAAAATTGACAGTCTAAACTCTAAAATCTTGGCTTCAGAAATGCCTATTAATTCAATACAATAAAACTTACAAACTCCCAGCAATCCTCAAGGTGCTCTTAAATTGAAATTGATTCTGTGAAACTGCTTTCACCTACCATCATTAAGGAAAATTCCATTTTAACTCAATTCTTAATAGGGAAGGCGTGAAGAGAAGTATCATGTCCAGGAATATAGAATATTATGAGCACTGGGACGCCAAGAAGGAGACACAGAAGGTATAGATCCGATCCAGAACTTGCATTTGCCTGTTACTGCAGATTCTGGGTCTCGCAATTGCTCATTTTCCTAGGGAATTAAATAAGAGAAATATCTCATAATTCCCAATCACACAACATAGTTAAATGGCAAGTTGTTTTCCACAAAAGTAGTTTTATGGTTAATGCACTCAACATTAAAAGAAATTTGGGTGGGGGAATGATAGCGTGACACGTAAGATATTTGTATTTATTTACATCACCAGAGTAACAAAAAACTGCATTTGACTGCAGAAGTTAGAGCTGGAAAATCTAGGTTTATCCAGTAATAAATGGGTCCCATGGGCTGTGGTTGGGATTACTGGACTCCTGGGTCCTATTTTCTGACAGGTTATTAATCTGCCATGTAACCTTGAGCCAAGGCTCTTAAATGTCTTCCTCTATCAATTTCCCAACATGATGTTTGAAAATAAAAATATACCTGCCTTACAAACCCTATCAGAGCCAAAATTCTTTTTCCTACGAGTATGCGCCACTGTATCCAGTAGATATGTCGCTGATTGCACTAAAATGCTGCTGACAATGACTGAGGAATCAAATGGTTGTCAAGCGGTCTTTTAACTACTCTCAGGGAGTTGACTTTAAAAGCACTCATTTACAAGAGTGGCTAAGAGGTCAAGTGCTAAAGACAGTTCTGTTTTCTTTCTGTAGCAAGAAAATGTTTTTTGGTAGATTAACCAATGTTTTCTCCTTTCCCCTTAATTCCCATTATCCCATGACCCCTCTCCATGCCAGGACCTTCTGCATTTACCACTGTGTCAATGACAGCATATTGATCACCAGGGACGTGTGCTCCGGCCCCTCTATGGTGTGAAGATGTTGCTGGGAAGTGACTGCCTAGCCAGGGACCGCCTTTCCCAGACCCCTTGAGTGAGATCAAGGCCAGGAGACTGAGTTCTGGCCAAAGCAATGTGAGTAGAAATGATACATGCTTCTTCTCTGCATGATCACTAGAAAGTCAAGGAACAGAATAGGATGCTTCATTCATTAGGGAGATTCCTTAAGTCAATTCAAGAAAACAAAGGCAGCCCTTCCCTCCTGTAAGTCCTTCAGCATCACATACTTCCTGAGATTCAATGCAGCTGCCTCCTTGGCCACAGCCTGGCGCCTACCTCCTTAAAAATCAAACTAAGCATCTGTTGATTGCCTACGATATGGCAAGATCTTTCACATACAAATATGAAATCTCATTTTTAAGAAAGGAAGAGTTATCTCCATTTAACAGAGGGGTAATTAGAGTCTAAGCGATGCAAGTGACTTGTCCAAGGTCATTCAAATAGAATGCAAATGCAGCGATGGTGGCACTATTTCTCACCTTCCTCTTCTGGATAGTGCACCCAAAGGGATCCCCAGCTCTCAATCAGCTGCCACCCTCAACCTCAGGCATTCAATACATGATCTAAGGATGACAAATTGCAACCCACCTGTCTCGAAGGGACAGCCAACTTGAGATTCTGAGAAAAAAAAAAAAAAGAAAAAAGGTTTTCTCCAAATTGTTTGATCTACATGAATGCATAGGCCATGGGGTCTGACCATCTGTCCACCATTATCTTTGTATAACTGACCACTGCCAGGTGTCATGACAGCCGGCATGGATTAATTAGTTAGTATAAACCAAGTTCAAGGTAATTAATCATACAAACTTGAACCCTTAATGTCCAATACTGCTAAAAACATACCATAAACTTGAGGCACTATAAAGGATGGATGGCCAAAATGGAGACAGGAATAGGCCTTGAATGCATCTGATTCATGTTCGAATTAAGCCTGATACTCATGTGCCCAGCAGGGACTCTCTCAACTCGCTATTGTTATCAATGAAAAATTCATGTGACCTGAACACATATGGATTTCTGAGCATGTGACCCACTACAGAAAAACCTCAGACAATCCCTTTATGAACCCTTCCTTTTGCTCGTTCCAACCAATTAGCCCAATATATTCCAGAACTACTGACAAGACGCACGAGGAGTGCACTGCCGAGGTTACCATGGCAGCCCCCAATGTCCCCCTTGAGAAGGGCCTCCATTTGCCAACCCCATCCCCTCCATTATGGGACTACAACACATTTATCACCTTAGCTTCCCAAGGGGGCTTCCAGACTGTCTGTGATATTGATTGTTTTAGCAATTTAGGTAGGGAATTAGAGTGATGCGTTGGTAATTTCCTGTGTACTTCTTCCTTCACTTCTTAAAGTTTGGTGCTAATTTAATCCTTAGAAGAACACTGTGTTGCTTGGATGCCCTGGTGGTGATTGAAGAGCTGGTTATTTATCTGCAAGACTTAGCAAAATCCACCGATTGCCAATATGTTCCTGGCTGATGTTAGATACAAGATCAGTCACCAAAAGCTTATTCAGCCAAAAGCAAAGACTAAGAACAAACAAAAGACCCAACTAGACAGAAAATGCCAAAGCCAGGGAAGGGAGGCTTTGCATTGCTGTCTGAAGGATCAGAACTGGACTTTGAGGTCGTACTTCTGCAAGGGAGACCACACACTGCAAGCATTACCTCCAGCAATTCAATTCACAGTCAGTGTACCTACCAGTTATCCCAAGGCATTATCAGTCACATGTGTTCAACCAAGGAAAGCCAAGAAACAGAGATTAATGATCCTCATAAAGCAAAAGCCAGCGAGCAGTTCCATTTCCCCTCCTCCTTCTCTTCCTTCTTCCTCTTTCTCCTAATGACTCTTAGATGATTCCAAAAACTTTCATTCCCTAGGCTAGAGTGACTCACTGCACTATGAATTCTAATTTGTTTTGTTTTGTTTTGTTTTAGAGACAGGTCTGTTGTTCAGGCTAGAGTGCAGTGGTGTGATCATGCTCACAACAGCTTGGAACTTCTGGGCTCAAGTGATCCTCCCCCCTCAGCCTCCCAAGTAGCTGGGACTATAGGTACACTCCACCATGCCTGGCTAATTTTTTTTTTTTTCTTTAGAGATGGAGTCTCACTATCTTACCCAGACTGGTCTCGAAATCCTGGGCTCAAGTGATCCTCCCTCATCAGCCGCCCAAAGTACTGGGATTATGGGCATGAGCCACCACGCCTGGCCTGAATTCTGATTTTAATGCCACTCTCAGCTCATGGGTGACTAAGACAACCCACTAGGGCTCAATTAATTTCTTTAACCTCCTTACTCCCAAAAGAGATTGGCAAGGAGCCTTGCCAAAGACTTGATCATCTGAGAAATGGCCACTTACTTTGACTCGGCCCAAAGCCCTTCAATTTATGGAAGTATTTCCCAACCGTATTTTCATTGTTGCCGGTCCCCTAGGGCCCTTTTAGATATGCTTTTTCTCTAATTGCCCCCCACCTATGAAATTTTAATACCACAGATATACAGAAACTGTGTATCTGTACATGGTATATATAGCTGTGACTTATACATAAAGAAGATTTTTTTTTTTTTTTTGCCTCCCAAGAACCAATTTTTGCCCTTTGGGAGGGAATATACAGGCTTAAATTCATACAAAAAGTTTGACTTCTATAGCAAGGTATTTCCTGTTGAGTGGAGAGAATTGAGAGCATGGTAGATGGTAAAAGGGACCAGTGAGGGGGAAAAGGGTACAGAAGCAGGGGGACCCAAGACCAATTTACATATTTCATAATATTGGCAATGGCCAGACTTGAAGCTAGACCTCATTTACAAACCCAGTAGTATCTGTTGATGAGAAGCATAAATATCACTTCTAATTTCTAAAACTATTGCCTTTCCCCACATTTTGATAGGCTCAGTCTTTAAGGATGTATTACACCAGAACTGATTTTAACTAATGAGAAACACCTTTATCAGAACAGACATAGCCCTTTCCTCTGCCCCACCCAATACCCCATGGTGAGACACCCAGCTGTGCCGTGTCCCTCAGCTGTCCAGCAGTCTGACACCAGCCTCAGCCCCTTCCCTGGGCTGTGTGTCAGTCAGAGTCTATTACAGTGTTCTGTAATTAGCCAGGAGTATTTTAGACCCGTATTTGTATTCCTCATCTCCCTGATTGATTTTCTAAAGTATGTGTCAGCATGAAGGTGTTTAAAAAAAAAAAAAAAAAAACTTAACTCAGCAGCAATTAACTGCAAAGCTTTTAAAGCCTAGTTTTCATTTCATAGTTCCTTAAGAGCCAGAAAAAAATATATCAGTAATACTGAAATCAAGTTGTATTTTACCCCTGGTTAAAAAGGCAGTAAGTGACTTGGGAGGCAGTTATCTAAGGCAACATTTATTAATCTTTTCCTTTTCTGCCTCATTTCTAGCTGTCGAAATTTCTTAGACAGAAACACACACACATACATACATACAATAAATGAAAATATATGTGTGCAAAATTTAGATGAAGTGGGCATTGCCCATTGCTGTGGTTTGAATGTGTCCCCCAAAGTTCATGTGCTAGAAACTTAACCCTCGATGCAAGACTGTTGAGAGGTGGGGCCTTTAAGAGGTGATTAGCTCATGAATGGATTAATGCTGCTGTTGAAGGAATAAGTTAGTTATCTCCAGAGTGGGTTCCTGATAAAAGTCTGATTTTGGCCCCTTTCTCTCCCCTTCTCGTGTTCTCTTGCTCTTCTGTCTTCCACCATGGGAAGATGCAGTAAGAAGCCCCTCACCAGATGCCAGCGCCTTGATGTTGGACTTCCCAGCCACAGGAGTCGTGAGAAATAAATTTTTTCTCTTTATAAATTAGCCAGTTTGTGGTATTCTGTTATAGCAAGATGAAATGAACTAAGATACTCACAAAGATGGTGTTTGAGAGAATGCTCAAGATTTCTGACCACTTTTGGAATGGCAATGTTTTACTTTGGACAATGCTTAAGTTTAGGACAGTTAATGACATCCTTCTTCATTTTCTAGAACTGAAAAAGCTAAGCCCCTAAAAATGTAACCCTCAGAAGGGTTTTTTCCAGACTGTTGAGAGTGAAGAGCATGAGCAAGAAAGACAGAACAGCTCAGCTGCCTCTTTGTCAAGCATTGTTTAAAGAGCCCCCAGTTTGCAGGAAGCTTGGAGACCTGGTTATTTTCAATAATAATGAGCAAGGGACCTTCTCTGGAATTTGGTATTCACTTAGGATGGGAGTCAGAGCTTACCCCTGGGGTATACATTGAGATGACCACACCCAAGAGTCAGTTGAGGATTCTACACATCCAAGCAATACTGCAAGTCAGGGAGAAGACTGAGACAGCTAATGATAGGAAAATCTACTACATCTTCTAATATTGCAGAAAGATGAAGGCCGATACCTGGCAAAAATGTTCCCTCCACAGCTTTCTATCTGCCAGGCGCTAAGTGGCCATTAAAGCTTTCTATTCCCATTGTCCTTTTTAAGGCTGCCCTTAATACCAATTTTGACTGCATTTCACCTTCCTTTTTTTCCCCCATGTAAGTTGGTGATTTATGAGCATTGGTACTGCTTGATATAACAAGTTTTCGGCAAATATGCTGAGTTGCATGGAGGTGACCGAAGAAAGCACGGTTCAGAGAAGCAGGAACAGCCGCTCACTTCCTCCACTCGTTTTGTTGCAGTCCCGTGTGGCAGAGAAGTCTCGGATGGAGCAGACCTTCACATCGAGCATCCTCTTGGTCTACAGGGCCACCTGCTCTTCCCGGAGCTGGGGATGGGGCCATGCACACGGCGCCGCTCCCAGGTCAACCGTGAAGCCGACGAGAACACGGCAGTGCCCACAACCGTCTCCCCCGCGCCCGTGCCCCTGTTCATCTCAGCAAAGCTCGCACTGAACTGGATGCGACACAACTCGACTGTTTCATCCGCGGAGAGGTGGCCCCAGGAGGCCTTCTCCTTCTCCTTCGAGGCCATCTGGCTGCAGACAGGGGCTTGGCCTGGGCCACATCGGGCAAGGGACGGTCGCGCCGGCTGACATAACTTGGGAACAGTCGTCACTCTTCACAACAGCTCTGTGTGCTCGGACCCGCGCCAAGGTGGGGACTGCTCACCTGCCAGCTAGGCTAAATACCCTGGTGGGCAGCATGCTGTCGCCGCCGGCCGCTGCCCCACGACCGCCCTCTACACCCTGCTGTCCGTTACCGAGATTGTGACCACAGCCGCAATGGCGGCTGCGACAGGAAGAGAGCAAGGCCGCGCGCGAAGCACCACGGGATCCAGGAAGACCCTGCCCGCGCCGCCGCGCGGAGGTCACGTGGGGCGGAAGGCTACCTTCCACTTTTAGATGCAGCAGTGTGAGCATGGGGGAGTGAGTGAGCAGCCACTGGTTGTGATTTGGCCTTAGATTGCTGCTTCGGAAGATACTGAATTAACCTTGATTCTTTGGCTAACGTGTCCACTTGAGCTCACACACTTGCACTCTCTCTTGTCTCACAGCTTATTTCATTTCCTTAGAGAGAGACCTTCTAAGTCGTCAGGTTTGCCTTTTAGCCTTGGCTGCCAGGAATCTCAAAGCTCCATGTTATGCTTCATTGCAGAGGCCTTAGTCTGTATGTTCCACCATCATTATTTCACCCCATCCCACGCCCATGAAACAGCATTTGGCCTTTCTTCTTTTAGCCTCACTTGGCTATAACTTTTAACATAAGCTACCCTCTAGCTTCTGTGGTGAAAACACAAATAAAAGAAAAAGAACTACATTATCATTGAATAACTGCATTTTGGAGCAGCCAACGTCTTAGGGAAGCCCCAGTGTAATTGAGAAAGGCTGATTGGAGGTGGTGCGCTTCAGCCGGGTGATTAGCACAGCACATCAGAAACTGTAAAGCCTTCACACCACAGCCCGCTCCCCATGAGCCAAAAGTCATCCCTGCCTCCCTCGGTGAAGTCCCTCATCTATAAAATAATGACAATGCATGCTACTTCTCTCTGTCACACTCAAGTTATGAGGATCAATGGGACAGCAGCTATAAAGTGCTTTGAGCTCCTCAGGGGACAGTGCTCTATAACTATAATTACCATTATTGACAGCAGCAGGGAGGAACGGCTGTAGGCTTTTTAGGGAACAGTTCCTTGTCGTCTGCGCCTGCCACAGCTCCGCAGAGGTGATTGGAGCAGCTGCTGGGCTTGCGCACAGACCGAGTTTTTCTTCAGCTGGGGAACATACTTGCAGCTAGTCCCAGTAATTGTCCAACGCTTCAATACAAAAGAGAGTGCTCAAAATGCAGAAAGGTTCAAAGAAGGCTGAAAACAACACGCCATCACCACTGCCATTAAAGGAATGTTTGAAGCACCCAGCGGTACATCAGTGTAAACTGGTATATTGTAGGGACAGCTGGCAGCAGGTGGCACAAGGCCCGGATCCTCACAGCTAGTCTACACAAAGATAATCCCGTTCCTAGTTAGGAAATGCTTGTATAGTATTCCATTCTGTATGTTGGAAAAGAATAAACGTTGTCCACATCCATAAAAGCTGCCAAGGCTTTTACAACCTGTTTAGACTACTTCCGGAAGCCCGTATTATCACAGGGAGACACCTACTCTCGAGTCCATAACTTTGTTGCTCTGCCTCCTGACTGTGACTTTGTGACTACTCTCCTTTCTCTTATCTGAGCTGACCCTCTACATCATTTTCAGCTGGGTCAGAATTCCACAGGCAAATTTCTCCTCTGGACAGCTCTGATTCCTTCCCCAGTCGGAAACATTGCTCTTTGCAACCAAGGCAATTTTAAGACTGTATTTTTCAGGTATCATATTGCTGGGCATGGTGGCTCACACCTGTAATCCCAGCACTTTGGGAGGCTGAAGTGGGAGGATCACTTGAGGCCAGGAGTTCAAAACCAGCCTAAGCAATATAACAAGACTTCATCTCTACAAAAGTT